ACATGATGGAAAATCTTGAAATTATTTTCTGGAGTCACCCATCACAGGTAAGGTATGCGAAAATTGTTAGATACAATTTTCACATCCTATAAAGTGGTTTTGTAATTTATCATGTCCTAAATAAAAAAAATTAGAAATCATATGAAACAGTAACAAAAATTGCTGAAATTTGGTGAGGGGTCATTATTCCCCATAAGGATCATCCATGAATTTATTTAGGATTTATTGACCTCTGGAAGTATTTTATATGATTTATGCCCTTGGTTTTAGCAATAATTCTAATAAATCAAAGAAATAACAAAAGCTCTTGAAATTTTCCAGATTATCTCATGCATGCAAGGGCTTTCAAAAGGAAAAATGTAAAAAAATGTATTCAGAAGAGAAATGAGGGTAATGATTTCAAACAATTTAAGAAAAGTTGCATGCAATAATGCATGAAGTGTAAATGTGGCTGAAGTTCATGAATTTGTGTAGCCCATTCAGTGAGGTTTTAAGCCACGAAATTTCAACCATAATTCACTAGATATGTTAAGTTTCTAAGGTATTTTTCCTCAGATTTATGGTTGGGTTTAAGGCCATTGTTTAAGCAAGATAAAAATAGTGATCACAGAAAAAGAGCTGTATGCGCAACCTTTTTGTAAAATCTGCTAAAAATCGGATATTTAATATTTTACAGTGAGACCAGTTGGGTTTGAAAGTTAACTCGTGGAACTAACCAATACAAAAAAATATCATGATTTGGTTAAGAAATGACTGAGTTATGACTGTTCAAAGTCGAACAAAGTAATCTGGCAGATTGCATGTTTGCTTGTGTGCATTATTAGGGTATTTCAACAAGAACATCATGCATGTCTTTGGTAAGGCCCGATTTCTAACACATGCATGGAATGAATGAGCATCCAAGATGTACTAGAAATGGTTTAAATGCTTTTGTTCATGCATGAACACAAAAGAAATGGAGAAGAACATGAAATATTAGGTTTTGATGTCACATGATCATATGTGCATCTTTTCCACTCCTTGCATGGGTTTGATCCCGGATTTTCACCATCTCTAACACATGCATTGTGTTATGGTGAGAATCTACAAACCACAAGGGGAGAATAAAGATTTCTAGCCATGGAAAGGCATAGAATCCGAAAAGTAGAGAAGACTAAGAAGAAAAAGAGGTTTAACCATGAAACTATGGAAGAAGATGTTGTTGTTTACCTTGGTTTTGACCTTGAGAGAAGTAAGAACACTTCAAGGGCTTCACAATCTCGAAATTTTGCAGAGAAATGAGAGGATTTTCGTGAGTTTAGAGAGAGGGAAGAAGAGAGTGAAGTGTGTGAAGAGAGTGAAGTGAGAGAGTGAAGAGGGAAGAGGTGGAGTAAGGGTTTAAGCTTAATGATTGTGTTTTGGGGAAGAGAGAGGGCATGGGGAGAGGTGATGGCCGGTTTTTGCATGCATTTTGGCCTCCTCTCTCCTAAATTTTAAACTTTATAAACTTCCCTCCTATATTTTATATAAAAACATTCATTTTTATAAAATGTTTATTAAGCAATTTGATTTATTTAAAAATCTTGTTTTCAACAAATAATTTATGATTAATACTTGTAATTTATATTTCTAGTTCATTGGTATAATCCATAATTTGATTAATAAAATTTGATATTAGGAAGTTTATAGCCAAATTTTATAAAGTTTTTAAGCTTTATAATTTATAACTTTGGATTTTTGGCTCTTTAGGGTTTTTGGAATATTGTTTGATATTCAACAACATGTTGAAGTATAATTAGAATGTTTTAATTTATTTTTAGAGTTTTATACCCTATTTCAATTATAACAAAGCTTGAAGCTTTATTCTAATTATAGTATTGGCATTTCCTATTGTAGCTAAGCAACTTACTAGAATTGTAAGTATCAAGTATATTAGTCCTAGACCTTAGTTGGATCCTAGTTTATGCAAGATTTTTGACCTAATTTATACTACTAGGTCATGGCATGTTGTGCATGAATGGTTATTATAAAGATGCATGAGTCCAAGAATGACCTGAATTGGCAGTTGTCACAGTATCCCCCACTTAAAAAGAATTTCGTCCCGAAATTCATTCTATGTCATCGCTTGTCATCGCAAGGGAAAAGTTGCGGATACTTTTCCTTTATGAAGTCCTCGCGCTCCCAGGTGTACTCCGGCCCGCGTTTTGAGTTCCATCGAACTTTCACAATCGGGATCTTACTCCGCTTAAGTTGTTTTACCTCCCTGTCAAGGATTTCTATCGGTTCCTCAACGAAGCTCAGCTTATCATTGATCTTAATTTCCTCCAGGGGTACTATCAATGTTTCGTCGGCTAGACATTTCTTAAGGTTGGAGACGTGGAATGTGTCGTGAATGGCGCTTAACTCTTGGGCAATTGGAGTTTATACGCTACTGGACCAATCCTTTCAAGGATTTCAAAGGGTCCAACATATCTCGGGCTTAGTTTTCCTTTCTTACCAAAACGCACAAGCCCTTTCCAAGGCGACACTTTTAAAAGTACCTTGTCTCCTACTTGGAATTCTAATGGTTTTCGACGATTATCCGCATAACTTTTCTGACGATCTCTAGCAGCTTTAAGCTTATCCTTGATGATAGCAATCTTGTCGGATGTTTCCTGGATAAGTTCGACTCTAGTCAACTGTCTGTCTCCGATTTCTGTCCAGCATAAGGGCGAACGACACTTGCGTCCATACAATGCTTCATATGGAGCACATTGGATACTCGTGTGGTAACTGTTATTGTAGGAAAACTCAATTAGGGGTAAATGAGTATCCCAATTTCCTTTGAACTCAATGACACACGCTCGTAGCATGTCTTCCAATGTTTGTATTGTTCTCTCTGTTTGCCCATCTGTCTGAGGGTGGTAAGCTGTGCTCAAATCTATCTTGGTTCCTAGTGCCCTCTGTAACATCCACCAAAATCGAGATGTAAAACGACTATCTCTATCAGAAATGATAGATAAGGGTACACCATGCAGAGAAACAATTTTTTCGATGTAGATTTGGGCCAATTTTTCCATCTTGAAATCTTCTCGAATGGGGAGAAAGTGTGCAGATTTCGTCAGTCAATCCACTATGACCCAAATTGAGTCATGACCTTTAGCAGTTCTAGGAAGTTTGGTAACAAAGTCCATAGATATTTGCTCCCATTTCCATTGGGGAATTTCAGGTTGTTAACCCTTGGAATCCAGACCCTTTCTTTAAAATAACGAACTCCATCAGGTTTGGTTTCAAATCTTTCTTCCAAACCATGTAAAGTTTCGCCTGGAAGATTTTCCTTGCATAACGCTTTCTCCTGGGCATTAATGATTTGAGATTTCAAGCTTGTCTGAATTACCATTCCCAAAGCTCTCACATGGGAAGGTTTCACTCTTTCTTTCCTACTAAGAGCGTCGGCTACTACGTTAGCCTTCCCTGGGTGATATCGTATCTCACAATCATAATCACTAAACAGCTCTACCCATCTTCTCTGCCGCATGTTTAACATTTTCTGATCCAGGATATGCTGAAGGCTTTTGTGATCGGTATAAATGGTGCACTTGGTTCCGATAAAGAACCCGTATCTAGAACTGTGGCTTAACTTTTCCTCGATGTACAGATTTTGTCCTTAATTCTGGTATTGACGGAGTGACTGGGGAATTCCGATAAAGTAGGTATGTAGAAAATTATTTTCTTTCTTTCTTACTGTTAGTCATATGTTGCCTCCTTTATGTGATTGGAAGAGATCCGACCTGGACTGAAACATATGCAAATCTATCTCTCTGCATGTTATATCTATGAAATTTTTCCTATCTGTTAGCCATATGATATCTCCTTTGTGTGATTAACAATCCGACCTGGTACATAGCATATGCAACCTTCTACTTCTCAATCTCTCTAAAAACAATAATTAATAATAATCTGAATCTACCCTCTCTATGAATAATAGTCTGCTCACCTAAAGTATTGAGTATCTCGGAAGTTCTTGATTATTGGGGTATATCAGAAAGCGGGAAACATATTCTAGTACAATTATAATTTAAAAATTATATATTGTCTATAGATCTCGCTGCTCAATTTAGGTGGAAAACAATATCCTTGGTCGTCGTCAGATGAATGGTCCTAAGGAAGTTTTATCTAGGAATATAGGGTCAACTTGTCTTGTCACTTATAGCATATCCAAAATTTGACATAATTTTTCATGCTTAAGTGGACCACAATAGTGACCAGATCTATTCATAAACGAGAAGGTAATGACAAACAGATTAAGATTATCCAACAACTTTGATCCCACATCACAAAAGGATAAACAATTTAGAGGATTAAAATTATAATTAATTTCTATTATTATTAGAATTTTCATTTTATTTTATTTTATCTTATATTAAAAAATTTTGGAATAATAAATTTTAAATTTTTTAATCCTCAAAGTGATTTATTTTTTAAAAATGTTGGAGTATTAGGCTTAGGATTTAAATAATGAAGGGAAGCCCAAATTTTGAAAAGGTTTATAAGGGAGTGTGCGGTTCTTTTGGTGCCACTGTTTACCCACTTTAAAAACTCAACCGCACATGGCTCTTGCTTCTCTCTCTCTCTCTCTAAAAACCCTCCAAATATCTTCATTTTCAAAAATTGAAGCTTCATACCGTTAATAATTGCAAAAACGATTCTCATAATGCATCTTTAATGCAAAAACGATCAAAAACTTGTGTTTAATCGAAGATTTTGTTTTTGACGTTGCGTGCGACCACACACGGCAAGTGCAGCCGGACACGCTGTGTTCCGCTAGACCGTGTGCGGCTACACAAACTTGTGTGCGGCCAGTGACGTGTGCGGCTGTACATAATTCTTGTGTACTGAATCTCGTGTGCAGCTAAACACATCCACGTCTGCGGTTGCATACATTCTCATGTGCGGTTGCACACTTCATTGTCTGTGAGCAATCAGGTATGGTTAAAATTATTTTTACCCTAATGTATGCATGTGTTTCTTTTCATATTAAAATGGGAGATCTAGAATTCGCAAAAGTTCACAACTCAGCTATCTTTCTTGAAAACCCTCCAGCAACTTATAATGATCTAAAATTCATTGTTGAAGGTCTGAAGAAATGTTGTTTGGAACATGCATTGACAACCAGGCCTACAATTTATCAAAACTTGATCAAACAGTTCTGGAGAAATGCGGTCGTGAAGAAAGATGACAAAGATGAAAAGTACCTTAAAGCCACGATACAAGGAAAGAAGATTCAAGTTTCAGAAAGGATTATTCGAGAATCACTTCAAATTGATGACAAACTAAAATATTCAATGGAAATTGATGTGCATCAAACTCAAGATGTTCTTGACCACATGGGGTATGAAGGAACATTTCCTCCTACCATCGAGAAACTGCTTCCTCCTTGCTGGAAATATTTAGCTCATGTATTTGTGAGCTGTATTTCTGGTAGGAGATCTAGTGCGAACGAAATCTCTCTGGTCAATATAGGAGCCATCACAGCTTTGGCTTCGGGAATTGAATTTAATTTTTCAAAGTTTATACTACACGAACTAGTTCTTAATATTGAAGGAAACAAGTTAGACATATTTTTGATGTACCCAAGATTTCTTCAGATTATTTTCAACGCCATGCATCCTGAGCTGCAAAGAGGAAATGAGACATTGGATCTTAAATTTGTTGGTCCAAGTGCATTTGGTTTAATGAAGAAGAAAAGAGGAGGAAAGTTTATTTTAGAAGGGAAATTTCCCTTAATAAAATTTGGAATTTTTGCTAAAGGTAGTGATCAGTCACACTCGGAAGATCAATCTATTCCTACAAAGACAGAAGGCGTTGTGATTTCAACTTCTAAGCCAAAAATTGAAGAGGTTCATGTTTCTCCTATAGTTGTAGTGGCTGAGGATCGTGATCAGCTACATCATGTGGAAGTTGAAACACAAATCTATGAAGAATATGTTGAAGATCTTAATGATGATGTGGAGTTTTTGAAAGAGATAGATTTCACCAGGATCAGTGATGATATCCCTACAAACATCGAACTCGATCTTGATGATGACGAGTTTTGTCCACTTTCGGGGTTTGACAGCAACTGTTTTGGAAAGGTCAATGAAGTTGCTTCTTCAGCAACCAAGACTGGGGAAGACAGTAATGTTCTCAAGATTTTGCTCTCCTCTTCAAATCCTTTGGAGATTCCTTCAGGTCAAAGAGATGTGAATTCAGAGATTCCTCCCTCTGTTTCAACTATCTCTACTTCTGCTTCGCTTATTGTTGAACCATCTCAGCCCCAAATCTCCTAGTCTTCCTTGGAAAGAAGTCAATTAAATACAAGTCTGGAGGTGCCCATTGTCAGCCATGCACCTCAAGTCTTTTCCATTGTTACCACTACTACTATTTTCACCCCACCAATACAATAAGATGAAGGCCCTAGCACAATGTTTGAGACAGGTGGTTCATCCTCTATTCCATAATAATCTCCTACAAGACCATCAATGGATGATGCTTTAATCAGATTGGCTAAGCACCTTGCTCAACACAGTCCAACCTCATTTCCTTTTCCTTTTTTGGTTGTGGACTTAGGGTAGAATCATTATTTGACAATCTATATGATGCTATTTTTGGTATAAATTGAATAAATAAGGCAACCAACAGTGTTGGCTGAGGTTCTTAGTATTGTAGAGGCGATCGAATTAAGAACTCTTAGTAAATTTTAGGTGATGTCATAGTAGAGTTTGTATTCAGTATAACATAGGATTGGTAAATGGATTTTTTGTGCTAACTTAGAGTATTCAGATGGTTCTTGAGGAAAGTACAGATAAGTGTTGTAGGTAGTATTGGGCCCATGCTACTGAAAGCACAAGATCTATACTCTAGAAAAAGATGGTCTTCGTGATTCAAAGGACACCGGTATGGTGAGAGTTTCCTCAAGTTTTTTGATAATAGTTTCTATGTTGTTTTTCAGTTTGGTATGGGAGTCGTCACTCAAGGGCGAGGTTCTACTTCAGGCTCTAGTTTTGTTTTTTGCTCGTGCACAGAACCCATTGATAAGAGGCTACACTATTTTATTGCTTGCAAGATTACTCATAGTATCTTGGATGTTATTCATATGATGTTTGGTACCATCAAGGAGGGGATTATGGAGATTTTAGAAGAGCAACTTCGGGATTTTTGGGCCGAGATCGCAGCAGGTCAGTTAGGAGCATGAACTCCCTCATTTCAGGAGGTCAAGGCTTATTGATCTCAAGATTTCTTTGGTGTTAAGGACCCCATCACTAGCCGATGTTGGATTGTTGACCTGGAGAATCCTCAGTGGACAAGTTGTTTCTGGGAGTGGGCAAAGGTAGGGTTTGCATACTACCTGTTAAGAGACTGAGCATGTGACTAGTAGAATGAGGTCGGTCGAGCATTGATATCAGATCATTTTGTGACCATGACTTGGCGAGATTTAGATTGGAGATTCTAGGAGGAGTTTGCAACAAAAATAAAGGTGTAGTAGTTGCCGAGGGAGCTCCAGGCCCTTCGCCAGACTACTGAGACTGTGGCAGAGATCACCGCCAAGTTCTTTGAAAGGCAGTGTTGTAAAACTTGTAGAGTTGGCTGATTACTCCTTCGAGTACTTGCTACTCGACCCCTTACTGCTTTAAGTTATAGAATCCTGAGTACTCCCTAATCGGTCTCTTACTGAACTGAGCAGTGTTGTAAAACTCTATCAACTCGGTGATTAATATGTAAAATATACTTAATGACTTATTATTTAATACACACATGTGATTATTACTACATGTATATATATATATATATATATATATATATATATATATCACAAATTTTCAGTAATTATTCACGAAGTGAGACCATTATGTATTTTTCAATTTTTGTGCATCACATGTATCTAGTTTTGTTATATATTTCAATCAAATTATGATTTGAACTTGTGATTTTGATATATATAATTTACATAAAATGTTTCTACTTGAATTATCGAATCTGAATACTCTCCGACTACTCGCTACTCGGTAGTCGGTCGAACAGACACTAACTAATGAGTTCTACAACCTTGGTGAGAGGGATCAGTTGGTTTTGAAGTATGTTGCGAATGTGGGGATGAAGAAGACAAGATATGATGACATGTTTAGGAATGAAATCATGGAGTTCGTGAGCTTTTCAGGGTGCAAGACCATGAATGACATGATTGAGAGGCCCCGTAAGCAGGAGATTAAGTTGGAGCTTTAGAAAAACTTCAAGCTAAACAGGTATAGATATCCATTGGCCAAGCTAAGAGGCCAAAGACTTTATACTCATATTCTAAGGGCAAGAAGGGTTGGACTCATTGGGACAAGTATGGCAATCCGTACAGTGCGGCATGTCGATTATCAAGTTGGGGTTATTACGGATGTGGTCAGACTAGTCATATGAGTATGGATTTCCCCAGGAGTACATTTATCTCTTTTTACTACAACCAGATAGTCCAAAAAAAGGTTGATTGTCTGAGGCTGTCAGGAGGGGCAATGGCGACACCTGAATTAGCCACTTTGACGATTATTGATGGCGTACAAGGTAAGGCCGAGACACATATGTTGAAGAGTAGGGTTGTGATGTTGACTACCATTGAGGATCAAGTAGTTGCAGGTGTGATTATCAAGACTTTCTTAATCAATGATATGACTACTCATGTCCTGTTTGATTCGGGTGATACCCAATCCTTCGTATATCTTATGCTTAGCAAGAAGTTTAGAGATGCTCCTTGGATTCTAGATTATTTGTTGGAGGTAGATATTGTTGATAATTATTCTATGAGTGCTTTAAGGGTTCGTCGTTGGTGTGTTCTAAATTTGTTCAACAAGAGATATTCTATTAACTTGGTTCTGATTCCTATGTGAGGATCGAAGCTTATCATCGAGATGGATTAGTTGGATTCCAATGAGTCCATGATTGATTATGAGTACCATCTAATGAGAATTCAAACCCCAAGTGGGGGATAACTGGTTATTCCTAGTAAGGGAGCTTTTCATGGGTTGGCACTCTATTTAGCTACAATGGCCAAGAGATATCTTGAACAGGAATGTTCTAGATTTTTCGCTTATGTTTCAGATAGTTGGATTGGGGGCACGAAGACATTGAGTAAGGTACCCATTGTTCTGGATTTTCTTGATGTGTTCCTTAAGGATTTTTGAAAGACCCCAACTTTCGTATTTTTGAAAGACCCAATCTATCATATTTCACATTATCATTACTCCAAAACCATGTTATTTGCATATTCATAAAAGCAATATTTTACATTGATATAAAGGATTTACAAACTATTGGATACAAACCTTCTATTACAAAGTGTTATATATATTACATAACTACCCAGGATATTGTAATTTATACAAACATAAAAAAGTAGTACAAAAGTACTATTACAAACTGTTGTACATCTTTCATTAGTATGTAAACATACTATTTATTTATCACCTGCAATTGTTAAACATTGATAGGGTAAGCGGTGACGCTTAGTGAGTTCAAAAATAGATACAATATAATGTTATGCCATATATAGATATACATATATATATATATATATATATATATATATATATATATATATATATATATATATATATATATATATATATATATACATCAATGTGACAAGGTAAAGAGGAACAACAAGATGTATGTGAGATCATGTAGCAAGCGTTCATATCAATCAAAGACATTATTCAAAGATATTATTTTCAATTCTTGATATACATCAATAAAGCTTTGGCCCAATTGGCATAGAAGACATGCAATTTCTGATTAACATCTTGTTAGATTTCAGGCTTATAATCCTGTCTAACCATTTACCAATGCTATAGAATAGAAGTCATTCTCTTATGGAGACATGCTCTACATGGCCAGAGGCTACGTACCAGTACCAATGTGAATCTAAGTCCTTTCACTGATTACATGGTCAAAGGTATTACAATTGCTATAAACATAGCGAATAACACGAGAAAATAACTCAGAATGATAATACTGAAAAGCACATAGCACATATAACACATAACATACAATTGTTCCTATATATTGAACTCACCTTAAGTTAACCGGGGGTTAAAATAGTAATTTGGATAGCACTCCGGCTTTAAATATGCCTTTGTATGTTGAAAACCGGGAGTTTGTTTGAAAACCGGGCTCTGTGAAGGTAGGGCTTCAAAACCGAAAAGATAAAATTTTTCGAGCTTCTTGGGGGTCTCGGGACGTGTTTCGGGCTTTAAAAATGATACCGGGGATTCCGGAAAAGTCAAAATAGTGAATATATGGATTTAGGGGTGAAAAATGTCAAATTTTCAAAGTTAGTCGGAAAAGTTCACAGCCTCCCTTATATAGGGCCAAGGCCGAAGTCGACTGGAAAGGAAGCAGGCAGCGAGGGCCTCGTCGCCTTTGCGAGGCTCGAACGCGAGGAGTGACGAGGCAGGCGCGAAGACTCGGACGCGAGGACGCGTGGAGGTGCGAGATTCGGACACGAGGGCGAAGCGCGTCGGACTTCTATTGGCTCGCACATCGGACAAATCAAAGCATGACACGTAGCGACTTCGGATTGGGCCATGATCACGGTGATGTACCCGCTTCGTGCGAGGTGATGTCTCCGAACACTGTTCACGTGAGGGTGACGTGGCTGCTTCTCACCCATGCGAAATTTTCGAAAATTGCACCCAATTCTTCTAAAATCCATAAGTTTCGCATACGAGCTCCGTTTTTGACGTTCTTTATATGCACGCGTACCTAGAATTACGCTCTACAACTTTTGTTTAGACTTCGTTGGCTAATTTTGAATTTAATTTTAATATTATTATTTTTAACAGACCGGGACAGGAAAATACGTTAAAAATTCATAACTTCTTCATCCGACATCCGTTTTCGTCAGACTTTTTTCCGTTTTACTGCATATGACGAGATCTTCGATTCTCGTTTAGGATGTATCGGTAAAATATCGCTCAGTCTAAAATTCGAGTTTTTAGTTGTCTACTGCTAAGCTGAAACTTCGAAAAATCATAACTTCCTCATAGGAAGTAATATTTTGTCGTTCTTTTTATCAAATTTCTCGATTTAACGAATACTACGACTTTCATTTAGATTACTAAGGTTAAAAAGTAGTTTATCAAAAACTCACTTTTTATGTCATTCGGCACCGTGTCGGTTTTGTCGCGGATCTTCTGTTGGTCATAACTTCTTCGTTATAACTCGGATTTGATGAGGTTTTCTCCTACAATTTTCTAATGAGATTATCTACAACATCAAATAATAAAATTTTACTTATTTAAAATTTCAT